ACGAATGTGATTGGAGTGATCACTAGTGATCATGCGTTCTTTTATCTTACCATAGGGCCTCAGACTTAAAATCTGAGGCCGACATCAAGAGCTTTGAGGTGGTAGTTCTGCTCTGGATCAAGAGGGTGGCTGCTGGAAGACCCTGTGTCTGACAATAGGACTCTGCACTATGTTACACAAGCACATACAAGTATACGTTGTGTATTTTTTAAGCATTAACCATATAAAATTTGAACTTAGTTACCTCCCTTACATATTCTTAATTCGTAATTTTTACTCCACACGCAGTTTTATTATTATTATTATTATTAATAATCCCATGACTTTAATTATTCTCGTAAAGAAAGTACTTCAACGTTTCGCTTTGGTATATCCGAATCGGCAGGATCATTATTCCTGATCTTTGGCACTGTTATTAAATGAAACTTATTATTTTTTTTCTTTTAGGGTTTAGCCGCGGTTAACTGAAATAATGGAAGTCGGAATCGCGGAAATCGAAACCGTATATTGGTAGAGGTCGAACGACTGTATCCACCAAGACAGAAGATTTTTTTATTTGTAGGTACATAAAGATGCAGCAATTGTCGAAAAGCGTAATAATGCCGAGGACGCATTTACATAAAATTAATCTGCGTTCAACAAACAATGGTGTCTTCGTCTATTATCGCCATATTGGATTTGATTATGCGTTATTGTTTACGTTTTTTGCCGACGTCCATTTTCTCCTGAAGTAACTCTCTTCATTTTTCTCTTTCGATATTTCCTTCTTAATTGATTTATGACATTGTCTTTTTCGTTTTTATTTTTCATGTGGTTTTTCTTATCTTTCTTTCCGTGTGACGCCAAAAGAATTTATTTTCATTTCGCTTTTCATTAATTCTGCTTTTATTGTCTGCGATTTCTTAAAAGACTTTCCCATCACTCTCTCGATTACTTTCTACGTAACTGAAGCTTGATTTTCCCCCCTTTTCCCTTTCTTTTTCTCTTCTCTCCATTTCCTCTTCCTATCTCTCCCATAATATTTTTGCTTCTCTCTCCCCCTCCCTTTCTCTTTTTTGACTTCCTTCTTTTCCCTTTCTTTTTCTCTTCTTTCCATTTTCTCTTCCTATCTCTCCCTCAATATTTTGGCTTCACTCTCTCCCCCTCCCTTTCTCTCTTTTTTGACTTTTTTCTTTTCCTTTTCTTTTCCTCTTCTTCCTACTTTCTTGCTATCTCTTCCTTAATATTTTTGCTTCTCTCTCTCACTTTCTCTCTTTTTATCGAGAATAATCGTATTCAGTTTTTAAGTCAACATCCCACACTTGTTCAAGTTTATCAGTACTTATTTAGATTCACTTAATCCGGCATACAGATTAAGACAGTCTCCACAGCTTCCTTCACTTTGTTAATCTCGACTATATTGTTCTTTTACAATGCAAGCGATAGGTACATAGACAGAAAAAGAAAGAGACAGATGAATTAGAATACACAGACGAATACACACACGCACATACAAATATATATATATATATATATATATATATAACGAAGTGAAAGACAGTATGAAGCAAAAAATGCTGTCAGTCAGTGGGATACGGAAAGAAAAGATATTTCAGACATGCAGTCTCTTCAATAAAATGCTCCATATCAAAGAGGGAACATTAATAAAATTGTCAATTGCTGATAGCCACTGACCATTGGATGGACGGGTCCGTCTACGAAACTCTGGAGTCGGTATGCTAAAGTTAACATCAATCATCTAAGTGCCAAATATATAAATATATATATATATATAGAGAGAGAGAGAGAGAGACAAACAGACAGACAGACAGACCGACATAGATATGAATTTAGAGAAAAAGAGAGAGAGATAAATTTAGATAAAGAGAGAGATGAATTGTGACATATATATAAATTGAGATGGAAAAATAGAAACAAAATTATGAGAGAGTGAGATATGAACTGACATATATATATATATAAATATATATATATATATATATATATATATATATATATATATATATATATATACAGACAGAGAGAGATAGATAGATAGATAGATAGATAGACAAGTAAATAGGAATTGAGATAGATATATGTAAACGTACTATGATATATATATAGATAGATAGATAGATAGAGAGAGATATGATAAACTATGAGAGAGAGAACTATGATTTGAGACGAAATGATAAATACTCTCTCTCTCTCTCTCTCTCTCTCTCTCTCTCTCTCTTTGACAATGACTGAATGACATTTTATCTGACATTCTCCACAGTTTCCTTCCTTTTATTCCTACCAAAAATACTCATGGTTCCTGTTATTTTTTTGTATTTTGTTGTTTTTTATTGGGGGTGGAGTGACTGTTCTTCCATCTAAAGTTCATCCTCTGTTTCTCTTGTCTTCGATATGACCTGTGAGTGGGAAATTCTAAAAGACTCCTTTTCGCAATATATTTTCCAAAACCTTTTGGTTATTAACTGCCGTTTTCTTAAACTTCATCATTTGTCGCATGCACTGTCCAGGTTATTCTCGACATAAGGAGGCACGGTGGAGTAATGGATAGCGGCTTGGATTGAGGAATCGCAGAGCCGAGTTTAAATCCCAGCCGAATCCATTACATTCACTTACGTGCTAACACCCTTGGGAAAGGTGTGAATCCTCTTTCTTCTCCCTCCAGCTATGGGTAAATAGCAGGACAGACTGGGTTCTATAGCCTTGGATGGCTAGGAGAAGGAAAACTCTGAATTCAAACCTGCTCTTAGAGGAGGGTGAATGGAGTCTCTCTGAGTTTTGGTTGGCAATCCATTTAGTGATGGTGTCACGATAAAAACACCCTTGATAGCCCTAGCGAAGCATCAAGAATTCAACTATTTGACAAGATTATGAACTACACCAATCAAAGTATTGGTGAGTTCAATCTCGGCTGAGGCTGCAAGATGATGATTCTCGACATTTCGCCAGTGGCTCCGAATTTCTGTTGCCTCGAGTTTATTTCATTTTTGTTTGTTGATTGTTTAACAGTGTTTAGCGGCACATCAACATCTCTATGGGTCATTTAATGTAGAAATCTAAATATTTTGAACATGAATTTATGGCTTCAACTAAATATATTTAGAAGCCAATTGTAAGCCTTCATATTCTTGTTACATGATGTGTTTTTGACTTACTATACAGTATTAATGATTTAGCTCGTTAGCCATTACATATGGCGAGCTAATGGTAACATTAGTTCATATATTATCTTTCTCTCTCATTGCTTCTCTCTCTTTCTCCAATTTCTCTTTTTCGCTGTCTTTTTCTTTCATTCTGTCTTTCTCTCTTTTTCTAATACTTTCTTTCTCTTTCAACCTTTCTTTATTTTTCTTTCTTTTTTCTTGTATGCCTTCAACTAAATATATTTGGAACGCAATTGTATACTTTGAACTACAGATAAAATGTATTGCTGGTCATTTGCTATAAAATGTATTGTTGGTAATTCTAGTAAAAAATGTATTGCTAGAGATTTTCCTTTAAATCTGTTGTTGGTATTTATTTATATAAAATGTATTGCCCGTATTTTTACTATAAAAATGTATTGCTATACTTTCATAGTGTTTGGCTTTTGTTTGGTGGCCTCAACTATTTGCCCTTAGCCGGCACCCCCTTTCATTTTTCTTTCCACCTTCTTTCATCTTCCTTTCATCTTTCTTTTATTTTTCTTTCAACCTCCTTTACTCTTTCTTTCATCTTTCTTTCATCTTTCTTTTATTTTTCTTTCATCTTCCTTTCATCTTTCTTTCATCTTTCTTTCATTTTTCTTTCGTCTTTCTTTCATTTTTTTGTCTTTCTTTCATCTTTCTTCTTTCTTTCTTCCAACTTTCTTTCATCTTTTTTTTATGTTTCTTCCATTTTTCTTTCATCTTTCTTTTGTCTTTTATCTTTCTTACATCTTTCTTTCATCTTCTGCTTTTTCTGTGGCATACGTCTTTCTTTTCGTTCTTTCTTTCAATTTCCGTTCTGTTCATTTTTGATTTCCTTTTTGTGTCTCTGGACTTTTTCAACATTCTTTTATTTATTTCCTTCTTTTTCAACTCTCTTCATATTTTTATATTTCTTCTTTTTCATCACCCAACTTTTTCTGCTCTCCCTCTCTCTATCTTTCTCTCTCTCTCTCTCTCACTCGCCCCAATTTAATGACTTTTTATATCATTAAATTGACCCCCTTCCTTCTCCCCGCTATCTCTCCCTCGCTTTCTCTCTCTATTGAAGTCTCTTTCTTTTTTCCCTTTCATCCCCTCCTTCACTTCAATCTTTCTGTCGAAACTCATTTCCTGTCCAATAATTTACATTATTCTCCAGCGCCGCCTTCGTCTACTTTCTGCCGCTTTTTATTACAGCTTCCTCTCACGTGATACTATTGACAATCACGTGACAGTTATGTCCCCCCAATCAGATTTGCCTAATGGAGAAATCGTGTCCATAAATAAAGACAACACTATCGTCCCTCGGACCGCGGACGAAATAGAAAAGAAAGCGTTCGTTTTACATTTCTGCCATGAAAACATTTCGTCAAAACGGGATTTAAGGTCTTCCTCTAACGCTTAAATACTTTTATAGTTTCATATCTTACTGAAATCTGTTGATTAGCACGTCATATAACTCGGCTATAAACCTTAGTCTTCTACTGTATTAAGATTGGTGCTTTCCGCTGTATTAATATTGAGATAAGAATGCACATTACTTTTATGTACTATTTTTTGGCTAATATAAATCCCCAGAGCCACTCAAACTAGAGTGTTGCAGAATAAGAATGTTCGAAAGGCGTCAATGGGCATGTTCTAATAATAATCACGTGGGGGAACTGACTATAAAGGTATGATACTAGAGCTGTGAAATCTTGGATGCATCAATTTCAACTCTTACTAATAACTGCATTGTTTCTTTCCAGGTACGAGGTTTGGCTGAAAAGTTCATAGGCTGACTATGAAGGAGTTATGCTAGTGCTGTGAATGAGTACGGGGGGAGGGATGAAATGTTCACACGTCGAAGAGGAATGAGAACTTGGGAAGGCTGAAATATTCACAGGTGGTTGACGGTGAATGAGTACGTGGGAGGGATGACATGTTCACGGGTTGACGGTGAATGAGTACGTAGGAGGGCTGAAATGTTCGCAGGTTGACGGTGAATGAGTACGTGGGGGGGCTGAAATATTCACAGGTTGACGGTGAATGAGTACGTGGGAGGGCTGAAATGTTCACAGGTTGACGGTGAATGAGTACGTGGGAGGGCTGAAATGTTCACAGGTGGTTGACGGTGAATGAGTACGTGGGAGGGCTGAAATGTTCACAGGTGGTTGACGGTGAATGAGTACGTGGGAGGGATGAAATGTTCACGGGTTGACGGTAAATGAGTACTTAGGAGGGCTGAAATGTTCACAGGTTGACGGTGAATGAGTACGTAGGAGGGCTGAAATGTTCACAGGTGGTTGACGGTGAAGGAGTACGTGAGAGGGGTGAAATGTTCACGGGCTGACGGTAAATGATGAGTTCACTTTGGAATGGGTACGTGAAATGTTCACAGGTTGACGGTGAATGAGTACGTGGGAGGGCTGAAATGTTCACAGGTTGACGGTGAATGAGTACGTGGGAGGGCTGAAATGTTCACAGGTTGACGGTGAATGAGTACGTAGGAGGGCTGAAATGTTCATTTGGAGGTTGACGGTTGACGAATGAGTACGTGGGAGGGCTGAAATGTTCACAGGTTGACGGTGAATGAGTACGTAGGAGGGCTGAAATGTTCACAGGTTGACGGTGAATGAGTACGTAGGAGGGCTGAAATGTTCACAGGTTGACGGTGAATGAATACGTGGGGGGCTGAAATGTTCACAGGTTGATGGTTGTTCACGGTTGAATAAATGAGTACGTAGGAGGGCTGAAATGTTCGCAGGTTGACGGTGAATAAGTACGTAGGGGGGCTGAAATGTTCACAGGTTGACGGTGAATGAATACTTATGTGGGCTGAAATGTTCACAGGTTGAATGATGGTGAATGACGGTAATGGGAGGAGGGCTGAAATGTTTCCAGGTGGTTGACGATGAATGAGGGACATGTTTCACGGGTTGACGGTAAATGAATACTTAGGAGGGCTGAAATGTTCACAGGTTGACGGTGAATGAGTACGTAGGAGGGCTGAAATGTTCACAGGTTGACGGTGAATGAGTACTTAGGAGGGCTGAAATGTTTACGTTGACAGGTTGTTCACGGTTGACGGTGAATGAGTACGTGGGAGGGTAATTGAATACTGAAAATGTTCACAGGTTGACGGTGAATGAGTACGTAGGAGGGCTGAAATGTTCACAGGTTGACGGTGAATGAGTACGTAGGAGGGCTGAAATGTTCACAGGTTGACGGTGAATGAGTACGTGGGAGGGATGAAATGTTCACGGGTTGACGGTAAATGAGTACTTAGGAGGGCTGAAATGTTCACAGGTTGACGGTGAATGAGTACGTAGGAGGGCTGAAATGTTCACGGGTTGACGGCAAATGAGTACTTAGAGGGCTCTGATGTTCACAGGTTGACGGTGAATGAGTACTTAGGAGGGCTGAAATGTTCACAGGTTGACGGTGAATGAGTACGTAGGAGGGCTGAAATGTTCACAGGTTGACGGTGAATGAGTACTTAGGAGGGCTGAAATGTTCACAGTTTGACGGTGAATGAGTACGTAGGAGGGCTGAAATGTTCACAGGTTTACGGTGAATGAGTACGTGGGAGGGCTGAAATTTTCACAGGTGTGACATGTAAAATTTTGCGTGCATCTCTTCTAAGCCTTTTGGATTTTGTTTTATCTATCAATAGCATTTCACATAAATATTTAAAATCCTCTATAAATGTAGAGAAATGAATAGAAATATAAGCAAATATCTGTATAAAATATTGTCCCTTTCCCAATGAAAACTCAAAATTTTTATTCGTCTGTTATATAGTGTCTATAAGATATGGACGATAATAAAATACGTTGTTCTCCTTTGTTTTTCAACTGTTTGGTTTCTAGCGTATTACTACAGACATGGGAAAGAAATTACAAAACCTCCTACAGAAGGTAGCGAAGGAAAGCGTGAAGAAGGGACGAAGCATAGATTTCAAGAAGACAAAATGCATGGTCATCAGTAAAAGGATGAGCCCGAAATGCGATTCACAGGTCGGTGACATTAAAATCAATGCAGTTATTAAGAAGAAGAGTTGAAATTAATGCATGCAAGATTTCACAACTAGCATCAATCCTTCATAGTCAGCCTATGAACTTTTCAGCCAAATCTCGTACCTGGAAAGACACAATACAGAAGTTTAAATATCTGGGACATGTTTTGACAGAGGACAGCGAGTGCGACACTGAGATCCGTAGACGTATTGGGATGGCCAAGGACGCATTCCAAAAGCTGGGTAGAGTATTGCGAGACAGGAGGATTTCTTTGGTAACAAAGAAAAGAATACTGAGGCTGTTACGTGACATCTGTCCTTCTTTACGACAGCTGGACGATTTCCTCTAAGATGAAGAAGAGACTCGAGGAGAAAGAGATGTGGTTCTACAGAAGGATGCTAAGGATATCATGGACCGAACATATTGGGATGGCCAAGGACGCATTCCAAAAGCTGGGCAGAGTACTGCTAGACAGGAGAATTTCTTTGGCAGCAAAGAAAAGAATACTGAGTTGTTACGTGATATGTGTCCTTCCCTACGACAGCGAACGTTGGATGGTCTCCTCAAAGATGAAGAAATGACTCAAGGCGACGGAGATGGGGTTCTACAGAAGGATGCTGATGATATTATGGACCGAGCGTGTGAGCAACGATGAAGTCGTGGAGAGGATACAAAAAAAAGGAGGGGGCTTATACTCAACATCAAGAAGAGACCAAAAGGAGGGCCTGGAGAATCTGGCACTCACAAGTCAAATAGAGGGGGAAAGAGATAAGGGAAAGCAACGCATGACATACCTAGTGGTCTAACGTATGTAAAAGAACGTGGTCTGGGGAGGTGACAGGGGGTGAAACTTATTGAGAGCTACAACGGATAGGAGGTAGTGGAGAGCCATGATCGCGTATCTACTGAAAGGACAAGGCACAAAATAAAAAAAGACTATACTGGCAACTAGGCCACGTATTTTTAATCCTTTCCTCCTAAGTAAGGTATAAAGCCACTTTCACCCTAAGTAAGGTATAAAGCCACTTTCACCCTAAGTAAGGTATAAAGCCACTTTCATCCTAAGTAAAGTATAAAGCCCACTTTCACCCTACGTAAGGTATCAATCCACTTTCACCCTAAGGTATAAAGCCACTTTCACTCTAAGTAAGATATAAAGCCACTTTCATCATAATTCAGGTATAAAGTCACATTCACCCTAAGGTATAAAGCTACTTACACCCTACGTAAGGTATAAAGCCACTTTCACCCGAAGTAGAGGTATAAAGCCATTTTCATCCTAAGTAAGGTATAAAGCCACTTTCATCCTAAGTAAGGTATAAAGCGACTTTCATCCTAAGTAAGGTATAAACCCCACTTTCATCTTAAGTAAGGTATAAAGCCCACTTTCACTCTACGTAAAGTATAAAGCCACTTTCACCCTAAGGTATAAATCCACTTTCACTCTAAGTAAGATATAAAGCCACTTTCATCATAAGTCAGGTATAAAGTCACATTCACCCTAAGGTATAAAGCCACTTACACCCTACGTAAGGTATAAAGCCACTTTCACCCTAAGTAGAGGTATAAAGCCGCTTTCATCCTAAGTAAAGTCTAAACCCACTTTCACCCTAAGTAGAGGTATAAAGTCATTTTCATTCTAAGTAAGGTATAAATCCACTTTCACCCTAAGTAATGTTTAAAGCCACTTTTACCCTAAGTAAGTTATAAAGCCACTTTCATCCTAAGTAAGGCATATAAAGCCACTTTCTTTCTATCTTAAATTATGTATCTGTTTTTATTATTTTATGGATGTTTATTTGTTCTTTCTTACTTTTCTTACATTATTTCTTTTCGTATCTCGCTCACTTCTTTTCCTTCTTTGTTTGTTTCTTCCTTTTTATCATTTTATTCTCTCTTTTTTTACTTTGTACTTTGATGTTTCTTTCTTAATTTTGCCACGCTTTCTATTCATTATTTTTACTCTTTCTTTTCTTTCTTTCTTTCTTTTCCTTTCCTCGCTTTCTTTCTTACTTTCTATTCATTATCTTACACGTTTTTTCTTTCTTTCTACTTTGTTCTTTTCCGCTCTCTTTCCTACGTTCTTACTTTCTGTTTATTCCTTAGTCATCACTCATCTATTTTTTTAATAACTTCTTTCTTTCTTTTCCATTTTCCCCATTTCTCTCTTTCTCAAAAATAAAACAATTGTTGCCTTTTTTTTATATTTTTTCTCTTTCGATTATAACTGAATTAATCTTAATTAATGGCAAATTAAACAAGTAAGACCGTGCAACGCCGATTCTTCATTCAAAGTCAGTATTCGAAGCAATTTTAGTTTGTTCTGTTTAGTCTTGATTTTCTTTCGCAACACTTTTTATTTATAGTTTTTCCCGCCTTTTCTTTCTCTCAACTGCCAATATAAATGTTTTTTTCTTTTTATAATTCATAGACGAATGTTTTTGAGGTTTTTACTGTTTATATGTATTTTACTTATTTCGCCATTGTTTTGTACTGATTTGTTTTCTTTATTTCAACGTTTTTATTTTCTCTTCTCATTTCGTTTTTTTATTTATCTTTTGCATATTTTCAATATTTTTTTCTTCCTCTTTTTTCTTCTCCAAGTATTTTTAGAAGACCTGTCACGCTTTATTTCGACTCTACACCTACACGGAACTTTGCATCAACGTAAGTATGTGTGTATGTGTGTTTGTTCACTGTGATTAGATATTTTTTGCACATGCGCACTTTGAGCTATTAATGTCAGCCATTTTGATATTCTGCAAATGTTTGATTTGGCTGAAATATCATTTCTCTTGAAGAAGCCACGTAGGTGGAGGCCGCACATGTTTAACGCGTATTGATGTAACGCATAGACTCTTATAATTCATAATTCTTATACTTCATTCAACCAAGTCAATGTAAGTAACACTCGTAAGACCGTACAGGAATGTTCACTGAGAGAGTCCTATCCATTTCGTTACATTTGAATCTTAGGCATAGTTAATAAATGAACGCATCATAGCGACATTAGAGAATTATAGGCCAAATTAGAGAATAACTGAATATAATAAATGCAGAAGATAAAAAGTAAAAGTACGATGTAATATATATATATATATATATATATATATATATATATATATATATATATATATATATATATATATATATATGAATAAAAATGACAAGAGGGAAACTAGTAATTGCAGACGCGTTTCGTCCAATGTGGAATTTATCCGCGTCAGCAATTACTAGTTTTCCTATTGTCATTTTTATGCATAAATATTGTCTTCTCTACATTTAAATCGGAGAAATTTTCATATATATATATATATATATATATATATATATATATATATATATATATATATTCCAGTAGTTCACTGCTACCAGCAAGCAGAATTTTTTTCGCCTGATGTTGGCCGAAACTAGTCGAGTATTCTAAATAAAATAATAATAAAAACGAAATAATATTAATATGTAGCCCAGTGTGTCTGAAGATTTTAATTTTTGAATATTTTTATTATTCAATATATATATATATATATATATATATATATATATATATATATATATGTATGTATGTATACATGTTTGGTAATCCGTATGGATAATCCGAAGGAGGATGTAATCCAGAGAGCTCAATGTAAAAACAGAGTAAACATTAATTTGATTAGAAAGCAGACAACCTTATGGATCCATTGTTTATATTTTATTTCCCAAGGAAAAGGATTTTTTCCTGGTTCCTCAGTCCACATTTCCAAGCATAAAAGAAAATGGTTTAAAAAATTTACATATTACTATTTCTATACACATTTTTGAGGGGTAGTTTTTAAGTTGATGTAAGGTGATACAGAGAGTGGGAGTAGAACGACAAAAGATATGATCGATATTAGAGAGGGAAAGGAGAGATAAGAATATGTTTAAA